GGGGGGTGAGGGGGTATCCATCCGTATCCAAGTCGTCATCACACTTTCTTTATGCAAACATAAAAGAGGCTTCTCCAACATATTGCCAGCCATCATCATACTGACTCCCTCTCCCTCGCCTTCACCACCCCATTCATGCTCTCCTTGCTCTCATTGTCCCTATCCCCCCTCAGCGTTGCATCCGTATCCTTTGTCACCGGCCTCAACTCCTCCTCGCTCGTGTTGCCGTAGCACTTGGCCGTGTACCCCGACAACCCCGGCTGAAGCTTCAGCTCCCCAGCCGCCTGCTGCTCACGATAGTTGGCGCTCGAAAACAAATCGGTTCGTCGGGTAAAAGATCGCCTCACCGAGATATCGCCCGTCATCTTGAGGTTACTCCCCCGCCCCCCAGATTTGGAGGCCGTCGTGAAAGCCGCGAGACCAAGCTTCACACCGATCATCTTGACGAGAGGCTGCAAACAAGCAAGGCACCCAGCCGTGATAGCAAGCGCAGCTTCGACAGACGACCAAATCGCAATCGGCGCCGTATCCCACAAGAAATCCTCACTCCCCATGTGTCGAAGATACGGCCCACGAACAATAACCGCCGCGCTGGCCACGCATCCCATCCCCATCAGACCAATCACCGCCACTTTCGACTTTTTGTCCATGTTGAGCTGAGCCACCACCCACGCGGGCAGCAGGGCGTACGTCAGATCGGTGATGACGGAGAAGATCGAATAGAGGATACCCAACGCCGTCAGGATGTTCATGTTGATGCATCTGCCGTCCTGGTCCTTGTTCCAAAAGAAGCTGATCGGGTAGCACTGGAACATGGCGAGGAAGAAAAACGTCAGGCAGCTGACGCACGTGATGGCGCCCGCGGCGTAAATGATCCATTTGTGAAGGCGGGTGATGGTGACTCGGAGCAAAAAGTAGCCGATGGAGAGCTTGACGAGAATCATGGACCAGGCGTAGAGGAGGTAGCAGTAGTACCATCTGAGAGTCAACAATCAGCCAAACAAACATCCTGTCACGCCAGACAGTTTCGCGCATTACCGGTTCATTGCAATCTTGTAATTCTCTGGGTCGACATCCGACTTGTGTTTCCCTGTGCCATGAGTGACCCCCACGTTGGAAAAGCAGCAGAAAGCGATGTATGCACCCTATGCGTGACACAATCAAGATGGTCAAGGGTTAGCCGAGCGATTCTCTCGTTGCTTTTTTGTCTGGGGAGCCAAGAGAATGTCCGTACCGTTGAAGCCGCCATCAACCAGTCATCCAGCCCAAACCCTTTCACAACTCTGGTTCGAACAAAGCATCGTAGCAGGCAAGTGATGCCGGCGAGGACAGCACCCGTCGTGTTAACGGCCAGCAGTACCGGGCCACGATTTGGTACATCGGTCATGGCGTATATGTGCAAATTGGCTGCGAAGGACAGAAACGAGTGTGGTGAAGGATGGGGATATCTGTCGTCGGTCGAAGAAGGGGGGAGGGAAATCTCAGATTCGCTTAGTCAAAATGCCACCAGCTTGCCCATGTCCCCTGGCCTGTCCTGCCTAATAGCTGGTGGGAGGAGGGGGTGAGGTACCGTGTCAACCCTCACAGGCTGGCACGCTGGGACGAAAGGGGGGTGGTGAGGTGACGTTGGTGGTTCACTTGACGAGCGAGGGAGGTCGGATCGCGGGAACCGAGAAGACATGGTTGCTGGCCGGTGGCGCACTCTTGAAGGCGGAAAAAGCGCGCGCAAAAGGCCAAGGGTGATTTTTGCCGTCTCCACTCCCATAAAACCGCCATGCACGCTATATGCTCGCTGTTTCCGCAGGGGAGGTCGATCATTGTTTTTGCTAGCTTCAGGGGCCAAGCAGTGGGCCGCCTGGCCGAGTCTGGATGTGTTCGGTCGATCAGGGCGGGAATGTTTGGTCCGGCCCCCCTGTTTGACATCCACTCGGGCGGAGCGTTGTGAACCAGTCCCCCACTTTCAACCCTGCCTTCGGATAAGTCTTTCATGTGCGAGTGGAGAGAGACCCGCCAAGCAGTGATCCACGTGCTTTTGTGCATGTTCCCCTTCGGCGGAGCCGCTACCAAGCTCGGTTGCTTCTCCTGCTGCAGCGCAGCATTCCATGCATTGCGATCTTCACTCCTGTTTGTGCAGTGACAAAGAGCCTTTCCTCAACCTCCCATCAGCTGCCAACTCGGGAAGTTTCCCTGGGAGATCTCGTTGCTTCATGCCAGACCAGACGGACCTTGATCCTGGCCGCCATCTCGAGTGGGTTTGGCGGGCCACTTGAACGCCCATCGCAGTTGATTCAGGTCAAAGTGTCCCCTGATGATGTTCCAGTCGACGCGCACAAGTGCTTTTTCGAGGGCGTACGCGAGTATCCAGGTGCCAAGGGAGAACAAAACAATCATGACGCCAAACTGCCAGTCTGTGGCCGAGTTCATGAAGGTGCCATGTTGTACAGAATACAGACCCTGTATGTGTTGTTAGTGAGGCCTTTGGGAAGCATTGTCAACGCTTACCGTGACAAATCCAAGCGGTAAATAACCAATCGTGATATAGGTCAGGGTCCTGATGTTGTTCCCTTGCTGTATCGTCGTCTTGTTGTCCTCCAAGGCGGTTTGGGCGTCAACCACATTGGTGATGGTGGAGATGCCGTCGCGTAGACCGGTGACCTGTTTGATCTTCAACTGCGTCTTGTCGTGGACGTCAATAAGCAAGCCATGCCGTTTTCGAAACTCATCCACGACAGTATTCGCCTCTTGGACAAGTTCTGCATCTTGATACGATGTCTCCTGACCTAATGTTATTACTCTACGGTCCGAGAGTGCGACCGCGGTCAGAACATACCTGCTTGATAATATTATCCATGGTGTCGTGTGCCCTCTGGACTTGTGTCAAAGAGGTGGAGAGCTTGTCATTAAAGATTCTGAGTGCGTCCCAACCCCAGAGCATCTTTTTGAGCTTGTTGATTGCTTCCGCCGTTCCCCACCAGTCTTCGGGGCCTTCAAACAGCGTACGGTCCTGCAGGTTCATCCTTGTCAGCCGATTCCACATAAAAAGCCCCGCTTGACTCAATAACGCACCCTGATTTCGATTATGCCATCGAGTTGCAAGAGAAGCTTCTCATACTCATCCGCCAACGTCTCGCACAGATGTCCTAGGAACATCAGGAACACCAGACACCTTGCGGTCGATGGCTGATGAACAAAGTTGGCCAGGAGTGGTTGGGTGTAATTGGAGATGAGACTTTCGAGATAATTCCATTTGACCGTTGGTGAGATGATCGAGCAGACCCACAGACGACCAGAAGGATGTCCCGTAAAGATTATGGACGATGATCTCTCTTCGACCATGTATTTTGTGTCGATACCAACCCCGAGCTCAGCAATGTTGTCAGGTGGGAAGTTGCCGTGCTGGCGGTGACGTTCACGATACGGATCTTCCTTCACTTCAGCCTGAGACCGAAGAGTCCAGCTTTTCCCTGTTATTAGTGACACGAGTACGACAGCCAACCTCCAAGGAGAATTAACGTACTGCGAGATATTAATGCTTGTAATCCACCCCGTGGGTCCCTTCTTACTGTCAGTGAACCGTGACACTGAGCCAAAGTGATCTCTCAAGTGAAAAGCCGCGGCATCGTGCCAGAGATAGCAGAGTCCAGCTGCGTTAAAAAGTGTAAGTATGGGGAATAGACTAGGGAGATTAGCAACCATCTTGACTACATGATCCTTGAGGTGCGGGGTCCTACAGGATTCTGTGCCTTATTCCTAGATCGACGAGCTGAGATCCCTCGAATAGCATATGATTAGCCGTGTCTGCTTGCAATCTGAGCTGGGCGAGGCGAATAGAGCTTACACGACTGTTTAGACGCTGTTTCAAGGATCTGTCCCGAGATGAATAGGTTGACCTGGGGATAGTCGTCCAGGTGACGGGTTTGACTTGGAAGCTGAAATCCAACGGAGACCCATGGGTGATATCCCACAAACAAATCATACGCAAGGCTACACAGTCGTCATCAGAGGTCATCGTGTCGGTCACTACTTTTTGAATGGATGACGATTCGGGCCCATGGCCAGGAAGATAAGCCTTTAGCTCCGGTATCAGGGTAACGAGTGGAAGTTGTGTTGTTGGCGAGGAAGGTGGTGAACGAGGTAAGGTATACCAGCCCTAGAATATGAGAGGGAATGTGAGAATGTAAACCAAAAAAAAAAATTTAAACGCCACGATATTTCAAGAATAACAATGTGCATATGAACTCATTGACGACTCGGAGCTCCTCAGACAATAAAAACAAGGTAGGGAGGTAGACATGGGGCAGCTTACAGGAAAGCAAGGGTTTGGTGGTCGTTGCGATATCCAGTCGAAAGACTTGGCCATTTCACTTCCACGCGACTCCTCCACCGACTGAATAAGCTTGAATAACATGGCTTCCATGTTAACAATCTCGCCGGATATTTTGGGCTGTCGTGGCAAAATCTCGCTGCTGTTTAGATCGTCGGATCTGAGTGTGTCCGTTCGGCGGTCGAGAGATTGAGGGTGCTCATCATCCCCGACTGGTTTCTTGGCTTGCGCAGCCTGCAGCTTCCCTAGCAAAGTGTCAACAGATCAGCTAACCCGTTGGAAAATGGCTTCTCAGAGTTGGAGATACCTTCATATTTCAAATCCAGCAAGGTGGCGCATATCATCGCGATAGGCTGGATGTCCCACCATCGGCCTACCATGTTGCCATCTGCCCAGTCCCAAGAGGTCATGAAGGAGTAATCCGACAACAGAAATTCAAACAGCCTGTCTCGGGCAGATGGGACGTTGGTGATATCGGCGACTCTCAGGTATGCTTCGTGGTTGGTGCTGTGTAGCTCCCATGGCCCGTTGCCAAGTCCTCTTATAGCCATCCACGGCTTTGGTCCGGGCAAGAATTTTGCCGTCCGTTTGCGGTCGCGGATCCTTTGCCTGGTTTGTTTGGCTCGAGAAACCGCTAAATTGTAGGACCGGCTGCTGTGCCTCAATCGGTCCAGCTGCATCTCCTCGGCCAGGAGGAGAGCCCTGTCAAGCTCGTCATGATGTGCTTTCCATCCACCGTGCTGGTTGGTTTTGAGACGCGAGACATTTTTTTCAGCTCTTTCTTGGGTCTCTCTTACCTCGTCAACATCAATGTCGAGATCGTATTCCGCACAACCCAGCTCGTCATAGAGCAGCAAGATAGAGCTGAGATGTAGCCATTGCAGCACATTGCTTTTGGGAGTCGGTTGCTTATCGCGGTTTGCCCGCTCCATGCCGAGGTGGTATGCTACAGGTAACCTGGGGACGATGATCTCACTGATGAACCTTGTATGAAATGCAGAAGGACATGCCCTGTAGGCGTACCAGGCGGCCATGGTGGCATAGCAGCCACGGTTGTATGTCGTGTCCCAGCTGAAGGCGGATCGTTTCCCAGCGCACCTTTTGAACCGTTCAAAAACTGGGCCGTCAGAAATATTGGAGGGCTCACTGTGGACTGCGAGAAGGAGTCTCCCTGGCTTGAGATCTGTGGCGAACAACCAAGCAAGTGCACCCTGAATGGCAGCTGTGAGCTTGTCAAGGTAGGCCTGCCGGATCTTTTCCAGCTCCAGATACTGGTTCAAGAAATCCCTTTTCAAGTCTCTAGAGTCAATGAATCTATGCAGTTTGGCGAGAAGCCGTATTTGATAACTAGAACGGTGTTAGTCTGGATATCGAGTAAATCAGAAGGATTGGGTTGAGATACAAGGCGCTTTCCACGTCGACAAACTGACATGTCATGATATTCCCTATCAGAGCTTTTTCTCCTAGTTCATGTGAGAAACTTGGGCTCGTGGGACGCGAACTCGAGGTCGGAATTGATGTGACACCCAGTATCTGTTCCACGCCCCTGCCGATGACGCAAAATTCCACCGCTTCAATCGCTTCGTAGTTCGCTGCGCATAGGCTTGTGAAGAGTCTGTCGGTCATGTTGACCGACCCACGGCTGACGCCCAGATAGTCTGCGAGGTCGGCCGGAAGCGAAGGGTCGTGCTCAACCCCATCCTCAGTACGTATGGCGTAGGTTGACACAACATATGTGGGCTCTCCGACTCGAACGTCAACTTCGACCTCACTCGTCATGTCAACCCATTCAACGTCGGCAGCTGTGTCGCAGGGGTTGAGGAAGGTGGGAGGTTGGAGTATGCCATTGACCGAAAATGTCATTTCGATTCTTGTGCGATAGTTGCTGCTTCTGCAGGACACAATGTTGGCATTGTTCGTGATGGTATATGTGTCAACTTGTCGATGAATATCATTCTGAGAACATGGGCACCCGAATCGAACTGGTCCTCCTCTTTTGAACCTCGCGCGTGCCACGTCGTCTTGGTGGTCATCACTGGTGGCTGAACTGCCAACCCCCAAACTCAGACGGTGAATCTGAAAGAAGATTTTGTTTTTAACAAATGATATGGTGTCCCAGTTTCCAATCTCACGATTGAAACCCTTGGTAGCATCCAAATGGAAAAGCACATATTGGGCGTAAGGCCAACGAAAGTTGACCCATCCCTGACTTTTTCGGTCTGCGGCACTCACGGCCCAGGGCGAAGATGGCGTCTCGGGACTCTCTGGAACCAGATTGGTTCCAAAGGTGTCGTTGCTCTGAGCCTCATGCAGCTGCTGGTTTTGAGCTCGGGCTAGCATGGAGGCTGCGCTGTCAGGATAGTTTCCTCTGACGAAAATGAGACCACAAGTAGGGTCTGGCCGAGTGAGTTGGAGCAGCTCATTCCCTTCTGACAGAGAAGCAGTAAAGCCATCGTCTCCGAAATCGAAAGTCTTTGCAGATTGGGATTGTCCAAAGGTTGTAAATGATTGACCTGATATGTGTGTTAAACATTAGATGGAATATTGGAGCAAATGGTATGTACTTACCTTTGGATAAGTCAGCAAGCCATTCCAAGTCTATCGGTTGTTCGCTCTCCATCATCGAGTCGTTGACGGGAAGATTTTACTGGGGATGATGAACACGTTCAGCTCGAAAGCGCGACCAGGCAGTAGATATTAAACATGTTTGCGCAGGTTGGCAAGGCTCGACCCCCGGTCGAAAAGGCAGCATGGCCGTCGCCCAATATCATGGGTTGCATAGCGAGCTGCATTCTCGCACCGTTGTGCGACACCAAACTGGAAAATGCGAACCTGAGCATCATGCCCGATTTATCCGCGGGTTGAAATCATGGCCTTCAAAGGGTTGAAAATCGATTATTATTGCTGGCAAGGAAGGGGATTCTACTTCAATGACAGCGAAAGAGTAGATAGGTTTTAATGGCAAGAACAAGTGCATTTGTCCTATCTGTCGTTGGTCCCGGATTCCAAGTTGGTAGCAAGAGTCAAGACAGTTGAAGCTTTCTGCCAAGATCCAAACGGCAATCACCCCACAGCCCCACCACCCCTCCTCGGGATCATAGCCCCACCTCCCGACTCTGGACTAGCGCTTTTCCGGACCAATTCCGAATTTCCTCAAAGATGTGGCTTACGGAGAACACGCTCGCCATCTACCATATGATATTCCGAATTAGCATTCGTGGTTTTCTCCCAATCTCACTGCAAATTTAATCATTCCACTTACAGGACTCTGATACGGCGCGTATACAACAAGTCGGCCGTGTCGCCCGCAACCGAAACGCCACGGGCTTCTGGATTCGAGCTGCTCATGGTGATCTGATCGTGGGCATAGAACACCGACATTCTAGCACCTGGTTGGACACAGCGGCCATACTCCAGGGAGCTGTGAGGGATCTCTCTGGTCTCGCTGTACGATTTGCAAGGTGCTTTCCACGTCTCACCATTATCGAATGTTGCCGTCGCGACCACGTTGAAGGGGCCCAAATCATGGGTGTAGTATGTGCTGTGGTGAAGAGCTGTCACTCCATCATCGAGCTGAGTGTAGTATCCTTCATATACGCTGTCCGCAAGCGTGTGCTGCACCCTTTGAACCTCTTGAGGGAAATGGTCGACGCTCGGGGCAATGATAGCGAGATAAACATGACAGGTCTTGCCCCTCTCCGCTCGAGCATATTCTGGCCCAAGGTAGGTTCGAAATTGGCTGTAGGTAATAATGATCCACTCACCTGTTTCTGAGATTGTTATGTTGCTCGAGCCTTCCGGGCAGCCAGTGCCTGAGTATCTTGTTAGCCGGAAATGCGCTCCTGTTCCCAGGGTTGTCTCCTGGGCTATCACGAGCCAAGGAAGTAGAAGAGAAAATGAAAGCTTCATTTTGCCGGCGTTTGCCTATGTGTGTTGGACAACACGTTGTCTTTGGTTATCGACTGGTTCTCGATACGGGAAGTGTGTGGGACTTATAACCTTCGTCGAGGGAGCTCTGAACCTGGTACATGCCACATTCAGCACCAAAAGTATCGCGGTGCATCGCGAGGTATTCTTGTGGAGGACCAGGTACCGCAAAGACAGGTGGATGATAAATAGTTGAACAAATTAACCAACATTCCCCCCTCGATTCTCACTGGTTGCTTCTTTCGAGATATCCACAGATTGCATATCTCATGCTATTCTCGTAGCTCAATGCGAGGGTGGAAAGTGTGATGGAAGGTTCTTGAGACTGCTATGCCCGCCTTCCTCCGCTCCTCGGACTTTCAGGTCGCCATCCAATTTTGCCGACGACCCACCACCGTCCACCGTCCACCGTCCACTGTAGTATAACTCTCCCGCGTGCTCCATATTTTCAGTTCCTTGCCCTTCGATTTACGGCGCAAGAAGGCAACCGCTCTGCTCGTCCACCACGCGAGCCATGATGCATCTCGCATATCTTTCGAAGCCTCCCAAGATCAAGATCGAGGAACGTCTTGTCTGCCACGTGGTCGCAATCTCGGTACTGCGATGATGGCTGCCTCTTCATCAAGACGATAACAATCCATCCAGTCACCATTGCCCGGAAGATTGGCAAAATAAGTCTTCTACTATCAACCGGGCGGCTCGGCGCGCACACAACAATCCATAGGTTGGAACCATCCGAACAATTGATTAGGTATCTGCAGCTTGCTGATTCATCTGCTGAGACTGTGCCATGATGGTCAACAGATATCTACAGCCTCCCTCCACTCACCGCCCTCCCCAACTTCACCGACCAATACTCCACTGATCTAGCAACCACGATGCTCCTCCTCCTATCCCTCCTCTCAACCCTCGGCCTCGCCGCCCCCCAACTGGGCACCTCCCCCTGGGGCCCGAACGTCTCATCAACCATGCTCCGCTTCGGCTGCCACCAGCTCGTAATCGACCGAATCGACCCCCTCGTCAACCCAGGCTCCCTACCCTCCCCACACCTCCACCAAATCGTGGGCGGCAACGCCTTCGATATCTCCATGCCACACAACACCGACATCTCCTCCCTCGCCAACTGCACCACCTGCTCCTACTCTGAAGACCTCTCAAACTACTGGACCGCCAACCTCTACTTCCGCGCACGAAATGGTTCCTACAAACGTGTCCCCCAAATACCCAACAGGCTATTATTCGGCGATGATTTCACTACCAAAACGGATGGTGGCTTCGTGGTGTACTACGTCAGCGGTGGGATAGGGGACGTGACTGCCTTTCGGCCTGGATTCCGGATGTTGGTTGGGGATGCCGGGAGGAGGGAACCGCAGGGGTTGAGGAATCAAACTTGCTTCCGGTGTTATACCGGGCCTGACTTTGGGGGGGATGATAAAGCGCCTTGTGTGGATGATGCGGTGGACTTTGAGGGGTTACCCAATAAAATGTGCTGGGGGATTAGGAGTAATGTGCTTTATCCGACTTGTTGGGATGGGAAGAACTTGGACAGTCCTGATCATAAGAGCCATGTGGCGTATCCGGTTGAAACCGGGCCGCATACGTTTACTGGGTTGGGGACGGGAGGACAGTGTCCGGAGAGTCATCCTGTTAGGATACCGCAGTTGATGCTTGAGGTGGGTTAATCGTCTTTTGGGAGTGTGTGCTGTTTGGGAAATGCTAACGGGGTGTAGATTGTGTGGGATACGAGTTTGTTTAATGACCCGGATGAGTGGCCGGAGGATGGGTCGCAGCCTTTTGTTTTGAGCACGGGTGATACTACGGGGTATGGGCAGCATGGGGATTATGTGTTTGGGTGGAAAGGGGATTCTCTGCAACGGGCGATGGACGGGGTGTGCTTTGGGGCTAATTGTCACGTGCTGGAGAGCCAGTCTTTGGAGGAGGCAAAGAGGTGTAGTGTGTCTTCGAGAGTGGGGGAGGAGGTGGATGGATGTGAGTCTTTGTTTCGTGAGAGGGGAATGTGAGCTGACATGGTTATAGGGCTTGATACGCTTCCTGGGAATCCAGATATTCGGGAGAAGAAGTGAGTGCGGCTTATGCACTGGGTGAATGGTCTAAAGGGAACGGAGGATGTCAGAAGTGATCTGGGGTCGACCAGCTACGACTGGCTGAGCCGATGGAGCCAGCAAAGAGGAACAGGGAAGCTCTACTGCCGATGTATGAAGACATTGACGAGAGAATATGGGTAGCAATAATGGTCTATTGCTATATAACGAAACATCTAGACGACTCCCAAAATAGACACAGCTGGGTATTCACGTCTTTGGCATGTAGTGAGCCACTCCATCGGAACAAGCCCAATCCGAACATCACTGCCGCACTCAAACTTTGATATCATTGCAGCCAAGATCAGCTTAATGATCGACAATAGCATCAAGTCTAGAGCTTGTCCCAGTTCCGTCATCATAACAAAGAGTAGCATCCGCGACTGGACACTATACCGAGACGCAGTTCTCAGCCTCAGTCCTCCTTCACTGGATCCTCGCGGCCAATGTCCAACCATAAGCCAACACAGCGCCCAGTGTCAACAGGTTGAGGTGGATGCACATTGCGTGGCTGAATGAAAACCGTCTTTTCACCACCACCATCCCCGACGATGGGCTGACACTAGCACCCTCCATCACCTTGTTCTCATCGTATTGCGTCATGTTGCAGCTAAGCCCATCTCTCGTTTCTAAGGTCGCGGCTATGTCAGCAAAGACCATGTCCGAAAGTCAGAGGATATCGAATCATGATGAGATCAAGCGAACCTTGATGAGTAACTTGAACCATGGCCTTTCGTGTAGCAGGTTCAAAGATGAATGTATTCAACATTGCTGAGGTGAACGCAACGGCGTGGGGAACCCAGCTCATGGGGCTTGCCTCGAAGGGAACAAGATCATCTCGCGGGATAGTCACAGCAGTGATAACGACCAATAATGATTGGGATCGGAAATAAAACGGCCAGGCCTGTTTCTGAAGGCTTCGGAAAGCGGACTTTGGGAGGGCTCGGTAGCTGATCTTGGTCATGATGAAGCTTTGGTATAGGGTTGCCCCAAGCAAAAAGGAGAAACACAGTAGGTGAAGAGGCGGCAAAGCTGACAGGAAATGAGAGCAGTTTGAACTCATGTTTGAAAGGGTTGATACTTGTGCAAGATTTTAAATTGAGCGCTGGGATCGTTTCAAGGTCAAGGTCCGTGAGGACAAGAAGAACAGCAGACATATTTCAAGTCCTGATGATGGACGGCTTTTTAAGTAGAGCATTTTACTGAGCACCGGTCTGACTCGGAATCATGGTTGGCGCCTACCATCGTTTTATAGGGCTTGGCGTTTAGAGCTGAGGTTGGTATAAGGGTTTGGTGCTTTAACTCCGAAGCTGACCGGACCGCAGACACTTTGCATGGAGAGGGGATCACATGATACAGGCATGACTGTGAAACACAACTTCATCAGCAAGTCAGAAATGCGGTCCTTTTGCTGAGAAAATGCGCACGTAGATCGTTTGAGGGACGTGACGTTGAGCCTGGAAGCCGGACTCTGAGCCTCGCACACCGGAGTAGGTAAGGTACTTGAGGTGTATTCGCATGGATTCCAGGCACCTGATTTGCGCGGATCGAGTGAGGTCCCATTTGAGGTTCGGTATAGGAGTGGTTCTAGTAGGCTGGGCATGCTGAAACAAACAAAGTAATCTATCCAAACCTTTCTCTGTGGTGTCGTCCAGCCAAGATTGTTGTTGACAGGCTGAGAGAAACATCGGCCACGTGAGAAAGACGGCCGGACATTAAACATGTCTGCGAAGCTTTGTAAGGGTATCTTTCCGATGCCGACATTACGTCAGGTGCAATCATCTTGGTTGATGAAGACGATGCGCTCCAGTCAAGTCTTATGTCGGAGCCGATGAGTATTGCCGCCTTGATATATTCAGCTATCACCAAAATAACCAAAAGGTTCGGCCGAGCCATCCTGTTGGACAGAGGATCGGTTAAAAGCGAAGGATTGACAAGTGCTATCAACATGTCGTGCATTTGATAGGCCGTGGTTAATCACATTTAATCAACCCCACAATCAATGCACAGTATGCCCGGCACTTGACTTGCCACAGCATTGCCTCCTTTAGCTTCACTCTTTCCAAGACGGGAGAGGTGAGGTTGGCATGGAGTACACACGAAACTTTTAAAAGAGCGCGACGGCCCGCCGACGACCCCAGGCCGCCTCGTGGTTCTCAATCCGTCCTGCAAAGCCAAGATCGACAAAGCTATTCGGTGTCTCTCACTCCACCATGAAGGTCTTGTATGGCCTTTTTTCTCTCCCGGCCGTTTACGGCCAGGGCTTTAGCACGACCATGCTTCGATTCGGTTGCTCCGAGGTGAGCACCTCTTCCACCCGCCACTGAGTTCAGATTCCTTCCACAATACTGACAATCTTTATCCCAGGTCGTCCTCGATCGCATCGATCCTCTCGTCGAGCCCGGCGGTATTCCCTCTGCTCACGTCCATCAGGTTGTCGGAGGAGTGCGTCGAATCATATTTTCAACGAAACGCCGTCACCCTCGCTGATCGTTGCCCTCTAGAATGCGTTCAACGTTACCATGCCCTACAGCGATATTTCCAAGCTCGCGACATGCACAACATGCTCGTTTGATCAAGATTTGAGCAACTACTGGACTGCCAACGTGTACTTTAAGGCTCGAAATGGAACCTACAAGCGTGTTCCCCAGATGGTCAATGATGTGGGTGCCCCGTTTACTTCCTCGTGTCGGCTTTTGAGTTTTCCAACACCAAACATCGATCAACAATGAGACATGATGCTGACGTCTTTGTTCTAGGCCATTGGAAATGCCAACGGTATGACGACTTTCTTCACATTCTCTGTCTCGACACATCATATCATCATTCTAGGGTTCGGGCTATGCGGGACCCCTGAGTGACCCCTGAGCCCGAACCAAACATCATCCACCACATCGCTTCTTCGTGATTCTTTGAAGACAAGGCAGCTAACAGAGCTCTTACACAGCTGGCATCACCGTATACTATACGGCTCCTGGTCCTAAAACCGTTACTGCCTTCAAGCCAGGCTTCAGAATGTTCACTGGCGATGCAGCACGCCGCACCTCGACTGGCCTTGGTCGCAAGATGCAGAGCTGCTATCGTTGCTACACAGGTACGCAGGGGCAAACATAGGCCTGGTTTCTGGTCCATTTGGTCTTTAAATGACAGTTTCTCACCTTGTACAGGTCCCAACTTCCAGGGCAACACCATGAGCCCCTGCATGGATCCCAAGCTTGACACCGAGAGCTTTCCAACAACTCCATGCCCCGGAGGCATCCGCAGCAGTGTTATCTTCCCCATGTACGTTTGTTCTTAAGCCTACGTCAATGTACGTTGACAGTGCTGACGACCCCCCAAGCTGCTGGGACGGGAAGAACCTCGACACACCGAACCACATGGACCACATTGCTCACCCTACGTCCGGGCCTGCCACCTTTGCCGTTGTCGATGCTGCCTGCCCTGCGAGCCATCCGGTCAAGATCCCACAGGTCCACTACGAGGCAAGTGGTTGTTGTCGTGGCTTTGATGTCTGGCTTACGCTGACGCTGTGAATAGATCGTCTGGGATACCCGTGCCTTCAACAACAAGGCTGAATGGCCCGCCGATGGCTCTCAGCCTTTTGTACTGAGCCAGGGAGACCCGTAGGCCCTTTGTCCCATTCTAAAGGTTGCCAGCAGCGCGCTAACATCAAATTAGGACCGGCTACGGCCAACATGGCGACTATGTCTTTGGCTGGAAGGATGACACTCTCCAGCACGCCATGGACAACCGCTGCTTTGCTGCCACATGCCGTGGTTTAACGACGCAGACCTTTGATAAGGCTAACCAGTGCCAGGTCAAGAGAGTGGTTAAGGAGGATATCGACGGCTGTAAGTCTGCGTCCTGAATGGCAGGCATGGATTGGTTACTAATTTTTGCGAAACAAACAATAGGGCTCAAGGCTTTGCCGGGTCATTCACACGAGTGAGGGGTGGGATTTTGGATTTGAGAGGGAAATATGGTGACATACTTTGGATGGACGTTGTTACAAGACTGGATGGCTTGTATCCAGAGGCTATTGTCGAAGAAGATAGTGAACTTGACGTATTACAAGTTATTTTCGAGACTTGTTGATCGCCTTGTCTCGCGAGGCCTGTAGATTGCCATTTATACACACAATACCATCTTTTCGGATTGGGGCTCCCGGGAGACGCAGCTGGCCTTAGTGAATAGGAAATATTTCCAATCGTTTGCCAGCCACAAGCACGTTCTGGATCCTGCAGCGCCGATCCTGGACAACACCCGCAAGGGGGATCTTGTGGAGCGTTCACTGGAGTTGGCCAAGGATTACCTGGATCCGGAAGACTGTCACACGCCTTTTGGGCCCTGCCAGCCATTTGCCAAACAGTACAGCTGTTTATTCTACGCTTGCACTCTTGATAGTCTCCGGCATCCTCCAAACCTGAAGTCTCTGATAATCTACGGCAGTTCCTATCATGGCCACTTAACCAACCTTGGCACTATATCTGAAGATTGACGCACTTCCTCGCTCTCCGTGACAATTTGAACTTGAAAGATTTTCCAGAGGTGCAAGCGGCTGCCAAGGGGTATGGTTTTGCGGTCAAGTTAAAAGCCAGGATAAAGCTGGAGCTTTTAAGTTTCTGCAGAAAGTTGCTCGACGGCGGTAATGAGTTGGAAGTTCATGCGGCAACAGAAGAAGGACGCTTGTTGAAGTATGCAGAGGAAAGAGGGCTTGGCGAGATGGACGATGGCGTGAGGAAGGTGATGGCCAATTTGTCGTGAATGCTTCGTGATGTAGTGGTAATACAGAAAGTGGAAGATGCGGGCCTACCACGGATATATTTCCTGATTCTCGGACTTAGCATTGTTTGATCAAACCCTTGATCTAGGTAACTTGACAACAATGCAAATCTTAAGATAATTGTTGTTGTATGCCGGATACTCTAGAATGTCCCTGGACGGGCTTTCGAGGAATGTCTTAACAACACGACATGAAAGTCTTTCATTTGATTGATAGGTCTCGTAGGCTAGGGATCATGGTGGTCCAGATAATGGCTCACATGATGGCAGTTATTGCCAATCACTGTCACCCTTAATGGAAACTATCGTAATATGTGGGTGCCTGCCCTATGAAAGTCATACAATATATCTACAGCACAATCCGCAATCATGGAAACCGCACGTGGGGACCTGGTTGCCGTCCCCTCACACCAACATCTTGTGTCTCCAATGGCCTCGCGTACACCTCCAGCTGTGGATTCCCATACCGATCAAACAAGTAATCACCCAAAGACACCCCCCCTGCAATGGCCCTTGGAGCAGGCTGTCGCCCAATAATCAACCCCCCCTGCGTCCAAGCATTAGACGACGGTGTCGCCTCCGACGAGAACCCAGAGCTAGGCCCCAGCTGACCAGCCAACGTCGTAGGTGATGTCGATATCCCCTGGTGAAACTCTGCATATATCTCGTTCTTTATTTCCTGCTTCATCTGGTTCTTTTGTTCGAACAATTTATACCTTCTCAGCTCCTCCTCGAGACCTTTTAACCTTTGGAACTCGGCCTCCTTTTCCTTGGCCTCCCTCTTGGCCTCTTTCGTCTTTGCCCTCTTGAGTTCTTCTCGAAGGACCATGTTCTCATGCTCCTTCCCCTTTAACGCCGCTGCTATTTGGGGGTCTAGCGGACGGGGCTTTCGGGTCTCGGACGAACTGCGCTTTCGCATGTTGCTCCGGGAGCGTCGAAACTGTAGTGTAGGCCCGGGAGACCGGTTTCGGTGAGGGCGGTGTGGGATGGGGTCTTCATCGGGATGTGGCATCCAACGATTATTGGGTAGGTTTGGGGCATGGGGAACAGGCCTTCTTGGTTCGTTGAAGGGGGTGTTGGGTGTAGGAGGATAGGCTGGAGGAAGAGTCCATGTTCCCCACATAGAAGCAATCGGGTACGGTTGTGGTTGCTGATATGGGATGTGTGGTCTCCCATAACCTGCCGGGGGAGGAGGAGGTGGCGGCGGCCCCGGCCGGTATCCTGGGTGAGGTCGTGGTGGGAATCCACTCATAAAGCCTGGACTGGACAAGGGTGTCCCCGCCGGTGGGAGGCGATAAGTGGGAGACGGCGGGATGGTTGAAGCTGTGTATTCTGTACTGGGTGAACGTAATGGGGTATTTGGAAGGCCAGGCCCGTATGGTGCTGGTTCTCTCTCATATACCATGGAGTGGCTCCCGTGATGGTCGTCCTCGTCCTCGCTATAGTAGACAGAATCTTCTTCACTACCGTCTGTGACATACGCCGAGTGAGGCTGATGTGCGGGAGGTCGGATAGATAAGCCGGGACGGAGGGGCCGCATCTCCTCTCAGTTCAAAGCCCAGCACAAACCAACGTGGCCAGTGTGGCACAGTCGAAATATTTAGTATGGTACTGTGGACAATGATCCACACCAGGATTGTCAATCGGGAAGGAAACAATGAGGGATGGAGCAGGATGCCTGATCAGAGGTAACGTACGAACTTGCCGGGGTATCTAAAAGATTGGGCGTTCTTGATGATGAAAGTGGTTGACAGGTTGGCTGGCTTGAGAGGCTTTGCAACGAGCAAAGTGCGCGAACCACCTGCTTTGGGCTCGAAGTTGGGCGCCTTATGGCCTGGTATGCCTACCTTGGGACCCCGCATATCTAAGCCCGCTCTACCGACCAGGAGCCCCAAGCCACACCGACTTCTGCTGTCAAGCTGTGCGTCGATTATGGGGGGACCGTACTGCGTCGAACAAAAAGGAGGGGGTGGCGCCCGTTCCATGTCCCCAATCAAAACTGTTTACCACTCACAGTTGAGCCGCACGTGCGGGGAATTTGTTCTCGAGTGGGAGCGACTTCGGTTGCTACATTTCAGTCTTCGCCAACACCGACGATGGACCGGCTAAGACAGAGAAGAAAGTGATTGGTCCAGCTGGGGCACAGAGAAAGTAAAGTAATGTTGGTTAACTAACACTGGAAGCAGAAATATATGCGATCGACTAACCCACATGACTCTATACGAAGCAAACTTAGATGTCTGATATCGACCATTGGGATCCCTTTTTCATGGCTTTGCAACCTAGGTGTCTACCCGTGGTTTTCAGTTTCTGAGCCAACCTCAGTCTTCATGTTTGAAGATATGTGGGACATGTCGTTGGCAGCTGCTTCTGTTGGCCCAACAAGTACCACAGGTCCTGACATCACATGGCTCTCTCATTGAAGCACATTGCGACTTGAAAGCCGCTGAGTTGTATCTCTTATCTTTGTTGTCCTGCGGGAAGCACGGGACAACATCGTGCATATCGCATCTCGAGGCTCTTCCGAAATGAATGCCGAAAGGGGACGGAGGGAGCGGATAAACCGGCTTAGACTGTAATGTCGCGCAACCTGCTGCAGTCCCTCCCAATCATCGTGGGCCGCATGCACTGCGCCCCTCACGCCTACATGTACAGACCAAGATCACCCCACACATGCACCTAGAGCTTCACCGCCTACTCTCCAATTCCTGGTGCGCCTACAGATAAACCTTGAGCAATCGTGAGCTTGGCAATCGTAGCCTGCTGTGCGTTAACGAGAGGAGAGTGATACAGCATAGACAAGATATAACCTACTGGATTGTAGTTAATAGACCTTCAACTAATACGACGGTGTACATCTGGAACAGCCGAGGATATCTATGGCTGTGTTTTAAAAGCAAACTCGGTCTATAAGTCTATGAAGTTAGGAAAATGGAACTACACTAGTCTACTGAATAATCACTCTCGTGGGCCTGCCAATGATACATTTCCCAGACACGGAACCAGCACCAACTCGCTCATACATCTTCTCTCCGCCACCGTTCTACCCGATTCTCCCAGCTGCGCGAACAAAAATAACATGTGGGGCACCAAAGGGCCCAGGTTTTCCCAGACCCACACCGGTTTGCTCTTGGGGCTGGATTTTCTTACTGTTTACTTTTTAACCAACAACCAACTACTGTAATACTAATTTATTTACTATTTTTTTTTAGCCAATTTTGGCCTCATTTTCGCAGCCAGTGACTTTCCTAGGTCACTAGCCCAATAGATTATAAACTCTTTTAACGCTTAAATCACTAAATAAACCGAAATCGACGCCTTCGTCGATAACCCGACCTCGTAAGGCCAAATACTATACCGGACCTTACGACTTCTCGACCTTTATTAAGCTAATATTATGTAATTAAACCTTTCGATAATAATTTTAAAAGCGTTAAGAGAATTAAATAATTTTTTAATTAACGGAAGTTTAATTTTAACCCTAACCCTTATTTTAATAAAGAGTTAAAGCGACCGACTACCCCTCACCGATAAGAGTATAGTTTACGGTACTAACTTTCTCCTAGCTAAATTTCTTTAGTTTTACTATTTTTATAACTTTTTAATTAAAAAATTATTATTTTCCGGTAATAGTCGAGAACTCTATCCTACCTTATTAAAAGACTAATAACGGAGTAAGTATTTCGCTCTTTATTTAAGTTAATTTAATTTATTATTAACGGTTATAAAGTTAAGTAACGCCTTTCTTTAAGTTTTTCTTTTAACGTTTTTCTTATAATATTTTTTTTACGACTTTTCTTTAATTAGTTTTTCTTTTAAAATAATTAATACTAATATTATTATAGTTTAACTTTTAGAATTTATAAAAGCTATAAGGAATATTAATATTATTATTACAGTTAAATAACGAACCTTTTAAACTTTATTAATTTTAAATTTAAAAACCGATTTTTTTAATTAAAAATTTTAATTAATTTAGTTCCTTATATACTATAGTTTAAAGGATTATATTAAGGTTAATATATAATTATTAGCGGAAAAAAAGATATTTACTTTCGATTAATAATATATTAATAATTTAAATATTTAAAACCTAATAATAATTTTTATTAAAAAACCTGAAATCTAATAACGAATTTTTAATTTAAATTAAAAGGCTAATAATATTAGTATTTATAATTTATATTAAAAAATTATTTAAGCCCTATAGTATAGTACTTTCGATATTATTAATATATTTTTAAAAAAGTATTTTACTTTTAAATATATTAATTTTATTTTATTTTAAACTTATTTTAATTAATTCGAGGTCCTTCGCTATTATTTTAATATAATAAAAATTAAAATCGGTTACGTAATTTACTTTTAAATTACTTTAAACGGTATTAAAACTATATACCCCGATTTATATAATTAGTTAATAAGGAAAATAAAAAACGGTATTATAATTTAATTACTTTTTTATTAAGAGTATAGTATTAAAACCGTTACGGAGGAAATTACGCCGGCTTACTTTAAAATTATTATCGAAACTATTAAAACCCTAGCCGTAATTATATTTTTATTTATTATATTATTAACCTCGACAAAAAAATACGATTAATATATTAAGGGTTTAAAAAAAAGTAATTAATATTATATAAACTATAATCGTTATTATCCGAAAGGTAAAGTTTATTAATAATATAATTTTAATAAAGTTTTAAAGGATTAAAAATATAAAGAAAAAATATAAGTAAATAGGTAAGAAAAGTAATAAAATATTAGTTCGTTAATAAAGATTTTTTAAAGTTATATTAATAATATTATTAATATTAAGTTTTTAAAGGACCGACCTACTTATAATACCTTAATATTATTTAATAACTTTATTAATATATTGCTCCTTATTTATTATAATAATAATTAATCGGATTTTCGTTTCGGCCTTTAAAAGTAATACTTTCCTTAGTAAATACTTTTAAAGTTTAATAAATTATTAAAGTATTTAAAAATTATATATATTATAATTCCGGATATATAGATTTTATATTTAATAAATTAAAGTAATTTACCGAACTTTATTTATTATTTAAAAGAAAGAAAAAGAAATTCCTTTTGTTATTAAAAAATATTATAAAGTATAATTATTAGGGTACCGTAATACTATAATCTACCTTTTTAAGTAATTAGGTTATTACTTTAAAGCTTAAAGAAGCGGTATATTACTTATAAGCGTTTATTAATTTAATATCGGCAAATAAATTATTTAATAAAAGTATTTTTTAAAATTAAAAAAATTATAATTTAATCTTTAAAAGTATTAAATAAGTAATATATAAATTAATTAAAAATAATAATATATATTAAATGTTGAGATATGTCGTCGGCAGGCTAGTTGTATGCCTTCCAGGTAGGTCGGAAGCAATTACCTAAAGACTCTGGGGTTCTTAGACTGCGAGGTACAACGGTGTAAGGTGGCACCGAAGGAAGGCAAGTATAGGGAACTATGCCCTATAAAAGTATGGTAAACCAGTATATTAATTTTAACTGTTTAACTTAAACTTAAGAAAGAAAAAGACCATTCCAAATACACTGGGAGGGGAGCCTTTTATAGGCATCCAAAACCTCTTTTTCCTCCTTATTAATCCCTATAACTTTTACCGGTTTAATTAGCTACAGTAGCTTATATAAAAACTTTATAGTTCCTTATGACCGCTATAGGCGTTATAGGCGCTATAGCTTAAAGCCTTTAAGTACTATAAGCCACGAGAAAGAATATACTGTAAAATCCATAAATAAATACTATATTTTAATACCCCCTCTATAGCCGTAATACGTAAGTAGCTAAAACGGTTTAGTGAGATTTAAGAGCTTTATAAATCTATTAAACAAAGCTACCGGAAAAGCTTTAGTAAGCCCATTAACTAATATCTTTTTAGTAAGTAAATAAATAATAATAACTATTTTAGTAACTATAGCTTCCTTAACCCCTTAGAATTTAATAAATATATATTTTATTCGGCGGTTATATTTACTATTATAGGTAATAATAATAGAGCCTTCGTTATTATATAATAGGGGGGTAAGTTAATAAATAAGTTTACCGATCTCCTAAAATAATTCCCTAAGCTATATAACTTCTTTAAGGCCCTTTATAAGCCTTATAAACTTAGCTTCTAGGGTACTAAAAAAAACCGTAAAAGCTTTTTTAAATTTTTAATTAATAGGTCCTTTAACGAATATAAATAATTAACCGTATATTAATTTAATATTAATTTTATATTTAACTTAATTACTATCCGTAAACCTAATAGGTATTAAATCTTTATTCGAGTTATAGTTAATAATTAAATCTATAATAATATATAGGTAAGAAAGAAGGGATTTAGTAGCCTTAAAGTATATTAAAGTAAGTATTTTTAGGTATTATAATAATTATTAAATACTAAAGGCTATATTAAGTTTCGTTTAAACTATAATATATATAGTAATACCGATTAATTATTAGTAAAGGTATTACTTTATAAGTATTATAAGGCTTTTAGACTTATTATTATA